TATTTCTAACTAAACAAGATGGCTAACGTCATATTTACAGATTTAAAGCCTAATTTTTTATAAAATGCTGAATTCTGTGATTTTATAATGAACTATATAAACTACAGGCCTGATGGACCTTTACTAACTAGCAACATCGTTAACAAGCTCGTTAAGTCCTATGAGGGAAATACTTATATTTATATTCACATTAACAGCTTTTAAGACCTCAGAGCTGCTACATGAAACCCCAGAATGTTCTCTTTTCTACCCACAATCACTCAACGTTGTGAGCAAAGCAAACCGACTGCTACTGATTGATTTCTGAATGATAGATTTCATAACAAGGAAACAGATCAACCAGCTCCGATAAAACTTCTCCCTTTGAGTTTCTCTCATCAGCGACCGGAGGAGTGTTCACTGTAAAACACGTATCACCATCCTCCCATGTTTCTCTGTTGAGCTCCTACCTCGTGACAGTCCTGCAGGAACCTCTGCAGCTCCCACTGGTCGTTGAGCTTCTCCAGCCACTGCTGGGCCAGCTCTCTGTTCTGGTTCCCCCTGAAACCAAACACATCTCACTGTTAGCTTCAACCCACAGCACAGTTATAGCATGTTTAGGCGTGACAATTACATGTTGTTTTCTTATTATATTCTGCTTTGGAACAATCTACAAGGAGGAAGAACTCATCCAGAGAACTACTGAGAATATGAGTCTGAACCTATTTATGAAGTCGTTAATGACAAAAATGGCATTTTTTGGCTTTAATTAAATCACATTTATGTAAAAATCCTGTTAAAATGTTACAGGGAAGCGTAAGAAAATAAAAGAAAGCACCTCTGGATTCATGATTTAACACTGAATTTAACTCGGTGCGCTAATTATTTTTAATTAATTGAGTCTACTGTGACAAACAGACACTCCTGTACCTACTGAACATACGTGTAAATACTCAGACATCATATCTAAGCTGTCAGAACCATCACTACAGATCGAACGTTTCACATTTTTGAAGCAGCGTCAAAGAAAAACGCTTTTTTTAAAAAGTGCATTTTTACGACTCATAAGACAACAAACGAGACCAGATATTATGTGTTCATCAAAATCCATCTTAATTAGCGAAAGAACAATGATTTATGACGCAACCCGAACGTAGTGCGTTAAAATAATTGTGTTGTTGGTTAATCGCCCCCCCGTGGGAGAAAAGCAAACGCCTCACGTCTTAATTCATGTAAATGAAATCTAAAAACCATATGGCTCCCCTCACATACATGAACAAACCCACAAGAACCAACAAAACAAACCCAACCCCCAACCCCCAACACACACACACACACGCACACACACACACACACACCTCAGCCTTCACACAGATTTCATGGTCAGGTGTCGCCTCAGAGCCTCCGTTTTCTGCCTTTTGTTTCGTTTCTCGTCGCTCTGCTTTAAATTCTTCGCCTGCTTTTGTCCTCTTGTTGGATTGTTGGGACGTCTGTGTGGATTTCTTTCTGCTTTTACAACCAGCAGCTCGGACAGAAACCTTGAAACCTCTGGAAGCGTTTTAAATACAGATTTAACAGAGTCTGTATGTGAGCGTTTTACAGGTCGCCGTTTAAAAAA